TTGAAGTTATAGTCCGTGTCAATCTGTTTAGTTAATCTGTTCTATCAACGTTAAAAGACGTTACAGTTACCAGCTCGTTACGGTTGAGTGAATCAGCTGACTCCCTGTCTAGTGCAAATTTCCGAAATAAAAACTGGGGCAAATCGTTATTTTACACATAATTGAGACATTTTCATAAGTGAAAACCCATATAAACTGTGACCTGCTACAACGCCTGTCTCTTATACACATCTAGATGTGTATAAGAGACAGATCTTATAACACTAGCTCAAAATCCTGTAGCACCAGTTTTTTTTTGGGACCCAGTTCACGAGCCTCGTTTTCGAATACCGCGCTCCAAAATCGAGTGCCGTCACCGTCATTGTAGTCGCCCATCCCTCTATTTTAAATTAAAAATTAATCATTTCATCCCCGCACTTCCCCTTTAAGCTTCCGTAATGAAAAGATGTCTGTTCTTGAAAACCGTGTGTTGTGCCTCTTGCAAGCTAAAAAAAGGGGACTTACACTGAAAGCAGACCCACCGGGGAACCAAAACCGATGTTTTTATCAATGTTTGGCTTCCCATTTTTCGTTGCAAGAGGAAGAGGTTTTCGAGTTGATAAACAATTATCTTTTGTGCAATCAACATGTGGATTCAATTGAAAATGTAAGTCACGTCCGTGCATCTTTTTTTCTTTAATAATAGGCCTAGCCTGGGCCTGGGGCCTATTAATTTACGGTAATTAGGCATAGGCCTATGCAAAATATATAAGACAATATGAATATGATAATATTATTCATCTTATTCCTAATGAATGTTAAAGGTCTTGGATAATTAATAATGCACTTGCATTGTAACTAGCCTTTAGTCCTAGTTGGGCCTAGCAATTTTTCCAGGGCGTTTATTCCCTGGGCCATTTTTTCCGGGGCCATTCTTACCGTACACCGTTTTATGTCCATGGTAAATATACATCAGTTTTGTTGTAGTCATTTCAGTCTAATTGCCATTTAGGTTAGTTCATAAAATATCTGGCGAACAGGTTTTGCACGTCACATAATTCTGGTGCTGAAATCCTTCGTTATTCTTTTCTTAAAGGATTCCATTGAACTAGGTGACCGTTATCTTTAAGTAACAGCTATTTATTTTTTTATTTTTTTTTATAGACAGGTGTTTGATGCAGGCAAAATTTTTAAACATAATTCATTCACTTCCCTTCCAAAATTTTAAAGTTAAAATAAATATGGAACACTGAAAAAACCACAGAAATTTTGATATGATAGTGGCAAACACCTTTTCGGTATTCAGTAATTAGGTCTAAATTTGTTGTCTGGGCCGAGTTGGTTTTGGTCTGAGTTGTCTTCTGGGCCAAGTTGGTTTTGGGCTGAAGTTTCCTCCTGGGCCGAGTTAGTTTTGGTCCGAGTTGGTTTACACTGAGTTGGTTTGGGTCGAATTGGTTTTCAATCCGAAGTAACATGCTACCACTTGGCAGTATAGGTAGGCTTAATTGCGCATGCATTTATTATTTATTAACTCAATTTCTTAAGTTTTTAAACGGGGGTCTCTGTTTTTGAAATTTTGAGGTCTCTGTTTACGAGTATGAAAACGGAGACCCTGCTTTCGAAAATGGAGACCTAGACATTCGAAAATGGAGACCCTGCTTCAAAAACAGAGACCCTTAAGTGGGTCTCCATTTTCGAGTGGTTCTCAGGTCCCTGTATTCGAGGTTTCTTTTTTCGAATAGGCCTACTGTAGGCTTAAACACTAAACAACATTAGGACTAGGCCTATATACTGAATTATTAATTAGACATGGAAAAGGCCTACATTATTATAATAATACTAATTATATACTTATATGCCTAGCCCCATTAAGTGGTGGATCCAGGATTTTCAAACGGGTTGTGGGGGGGGGGGACAATATATTCATAGAAAAGTGAGACTGCTAATTTCAATATATGCCTTAAAATGTTAAAAGTTTATAGCAAAACAGGGGAAGTGGAACATGCCCCAGTTTTAAAATTGTCTGAATTTGACCATATGTTAAACAGATTAAGTATATAACACTGATCTGACACTTTTATGACATTTTATCATGTCTAAATACAAAAACAATTGAAAATCATAGTAAACTTTAATTTCTTGTGTGAACATAAAAAACACACCAGAATGTTAGCGTGGATTAATATGTTAATGGTTTTTGGCTAGTAGCTGAACCCAGATTGAAACTTTTTTCATGTTCACATTGCTGCGAAAAAGTGAAATAATCCTTAGAAGGTTGTGAAAAACGGAACAATATATTTCAGTTATACTGAAAGTTAATTACCGGTATTGGGTTGATATTTATTGCAAAGTATTTGTATTGATTTTTAAAAATCATAAGCCAGGGCCCTGTCCGTTGCTAAGGTAGTAATAAAGAGCCATGAGCGCCTTCATGTTTGCTGCAATGTTTTGTTTTGTGCCCTACTGTGTGCCCGTATTGTGTTTGGGAAAATAACACAGCCGCCAAGACAAGAGTTACTAGATTTTCACTTTAATATTCTTCTATAGAGTAAAACTTTACATTAATGTCAATAGTCTGTCCAAGTTTATGATTTTTACAGTAATAGACTGGTAAATTTAAAACAAACCATAATTTGTTTGCATTTGGGTATAATTTCAAGGGATAATGGAGGTTTTAATTTCACAAAAAAACAACAAAACGTGCAAATAGCAAAAAACCTACATTTAGGCCTTATTAAAAAATAAAGTATTTTTCTTAAATCGGAAAAAAAAATTATTTTAAAATTTGAACATTTTTTTATGTATCGTAGGGCACAGTTAAACATCAAGATCTTCTGCAATTTTTCTCGGATGCTGATTTTCCTAGTCTGTCAGAGTGTCCAAGTACATGGGAAGAATGTATAATATCCCTACGTGATCAGATGGCAAATCACGTTGTTATTAGAGCAGCTGCAACAATATTCTGTATCAATTGTAAAATAATTGATTGGAGAGGGGTATGTACAAACATTTTTTTTATGTAAAAAAAATAGTATTATGAACAGTAAGTAAACAAATCTGAATCATATAATGAATACAATACTGTACTGTATATTTCAGAGGATGACAGTCGAAGTACCATTTGGTAGCCAAGGATCAGGAAACTCGGATGTTTTCTTCGCTTATACAGGGGATCATTATATGTTGCTTACAGATGTCGGTTGCCCAACTGAATTATGTGGCCAGAGCAACATCACAGGTTAGTTTCAGTATCTATATGTAGTTATGAAGAAATGGACTGACTGAATGTCTTTTCCTAAAACACACAACAGCCAATAGAACAGAATGTATGAACCTAGCTGCTTATTCAATCCTCATAAGAGAGATTTGGTATGTGTACAAGTTATTCCATATTAAATGTTTTTAAGTGTATTTTTTAATCTGCTACTTTATAACAGAACCGGAAATTAGCACTGACGTAAATAGTTTAGTTTTTATTATAAAGTCACCGAGATATTATGAATAAATGCCTTCATAATTGTCTTGAGATATCTTATTTGTAGTGTATGTCCTGCTGTGATCATGTCTATTTAAAAGAAACAAAATACATAACACCTGTCTCTTATACACATCTAGATGTGTATAAGAGACAGATATAATCCTGGTGTAAGTGTTTTTAAGGGCAGGGAATTGAAGGTAATTTCTTAGTTATTAGCATTGTATAACTATCTATTGTCTTATGAATATGTTTGCATAGCTCTTAAAGGGAAGGTGTGGCTTTAAAATTTGTTGTCAATATGTTGATATTATGATTGTCCTAAGATGTAGAAAGCTTCTTTAGCAAAACATTTATTTATTAGTTATTCAGATAGATTCTTGAAAATTTAATAATTTGTTCCAAAACCTTTATTGGTTTATATATTAATTAATTAACTTTTTCGTGAAATATGCTTTTTGCATCTCAGAAATTAAACCCACACCTGACCTCAAAAGGGGAGGTCCACTTTGAAAATCTCTGTTCTTTGTTTTATTTGAGTATAAAAGGACTTTCACACTATTACAATTTCTTCCCATTTTTGGGTGAATTACAGAAGTTCAGAAATAATAGCAAAAATACAAAATAGCGGCTATTTTTTCCCCAATTATTTTACATGTAAACTAACTTATCAAGGAATACTAAATCATATAAAAAAATCAATTGCTGCACAAATGTACAACAAAATACTATTTTGTGTCTGTTTCAACTTGAAAGTATACCTCTCCTTTAACCTTATTTGGAAGCTTTTAGCACCTTTATCTTGAAAAGTCCTTAAGCAGTACAAGGAATTGCATACAGATAATTAAAAATATTATTAGTTGAAACCTTTATATTTCTTTTGTTTTCAGCTTGATGAAATAATAATATCAAGTGAAGATGAAAGTATGCATGAAACTGTAACTCATGTAAGTTGCTGTTAGTAACTGATCACATTTGCTAATTCATAAGATTCATTTTATAATTACATTACTCTAAAAACTTTTCAATTTTGTTTTTTGGAATGATAAATACTGGATCCCATTTCAGTATTTTGAGACTAAAAAAAAATTAAAATCTCCATACCCTACCAAACGTGATACAGTATGGTGTATTATTCTCTGCATAAACCATATTTTCAATTGGTGGTACAGTGCTTGGTAACTAATTTAACAACATCTCAACATCTTTTGTTCGTAGTAGATGAAAATGAACTTTGATAAAACTTCTTACTTTTTGTTTTTATCTATACAGGATACCAATGATTTTGTTGTAATATCAAGTGTATCAGAAGATCAGGTAAGTCGGACAGACATGGTAAGTTTGTAGATATTACAATTGAATGTGCTTACAGCAATGTAAAAATAATAATAAACTAAATCATATAATACTTAAAGCCCCATTCCCGGCAAAATTTTCCTAAAGACTGCCATTTTTAGAAAATTGCATATGCATTACACTCATTATTATGAATCATGGAAAAATACTGCATTAAATTTTATTTTTATGCTAAAGACTTAAAAAAAAAGAGAAATACCAACTATTTCTCTTGAAAAATTACCATTTTCTTGACGAATTCTTCGTTACTAGGCAAATTTAGAGGTTGTAGATCGCCTCCGCTGGAATGCTCTCGCTTTTATGTGTTATTTTATACAGTCAATCAAGTGCGCCCTCTTTAGCATGTACTTCGGATTTCGCATACTGCGGTCGATCGAGGAGGCCTGAGATACGCTTGTTTATGTGTCAAAATCTCGGTTAGAATCAGTTTTTTAACAAATTGAAATAATTAAAATGAAATATTATATTTTACAAGTGTCAATACTGGCAACGGAAAATATTATGTCGGCCTTTTTATGTGTGATAACAGAACCTAAATTTAGGTAAGGCTAGGCTTGGCCTAGCAGTGTTGCATAGGGTAATGTTTTCGGCACCTGCAATATTTCTTCGTAGTACGATCGCAATATCAAACCTGAAAAATTTATCCGCATTTAGTTTTGGTCTGGAGGACAAAAAAATCAAATTTCAGCCTTATTTTACATTCTTTTCATGTTTAGGAATGTCTATATTGAATTAGACTACCGATTCCGTATTACATTTGTAAAGCTTTATAACATATATTTTTTCCAAAAAATGAGAGGCTGCCGGGTATGGGGCTTTAAATCATATGGTGTCAGTCACACGCACGTATGCATTATTTGGTCATGTTTTATTTTTATAGTAACTAATCCTGAACATAATTTATTTTTGCATAGGACAACAAAGGTAATGATATTGTAATTTCTAGCAGCTCAGATGATTTACCACCAGTCAACATAAATCATAAACGCAAAGCAAGACAACGAAAAAGAACTAAAACAGACAGTTGGGTAGGTGTTATAAACATTTTAATGAAACATGAAGAACTTAATACTAGCAATATTTTTATGACACCAAACTGGTCTACTAATCAGTATTTTATTATTCCAAGGTTTCCAAATACCCACTTTTATAGTGTTGTTTTAAATCAAGTAAATCAGTTTGTTTTTTAATGTATTTATTTGATAAACAAAATAATTCTAGTCATTGTGGTGGTGCAGTACAGTATGTTAGCTTGTCGTGAATGTGCTAGTTGCTTTCAACACAAGATATTGGTTTAAATCCTGAACCAGTGCCATGATTTTGGATGCTTTTAATAATTAACAATGCCGTTCAAGCCTAAAGTAAATCTTTTTAAGAACTATAAAAAATCACAGTTACTCATCATGTTATTGGCAAGCAATACAAAATTGAAATTTGAAACATAAGGGTTTACATTTTAACATTAAGTAATATCATATGGATCTAAATGCAGGCATACAATGAAAATGATAAAAGTTAATGATGTGCAGATGGTTATAAAAAAGCTGATTTGCTTCTCACCAATGTAACATACAACTAGGTATTGTATTTTTTTTTTAAATTAGGCGAAATTTTTATTTTGTTGATAGAGAAACTCCATTGACGACCTTGTGAGTGCGATGAGTGGTTTAAGCTCAGCAGAATCTACACCAATTAAAAAAAAAACACAGAAAGAAAAAAACGCAGACTTGTCCTTGGATTTATTGGTGGCAGAAGAAAAGTAAGAATTGTAAACATTTTCTCAGATACATTTTTTTGTACCAAATACTATTCATGTAGATTTTAAACCTGATTGCTGTAGATGTAAATATAGAGAAATAGTGGTGAGTTGGGTTGTCCAAACAACCTAATAAAGTAATCTATTTGTAAAATAAAATGGAATATTTTACTAGTTATTGGCTCTTGACTGTTTTCAACATTTCATATATATTAAATAATTGTTATGAATGATTATTATTCACCATATGTACTTTTTAATATTACAGGGATGAAATACTAATCAAGAAGGGCTCAAGAACTTACGTAAACCAAAACGAGATTGAAAAGTTGGAGGCAGAACAAGTAAACAAGGTGCCTGATACACCTAATGGAAATTTGAGGTATGAAGTTGCCTACAATGAAAACGAACCTCTTTCTGGTAGCTATGATGCGTGGAATTGGAATCGTTCACAAACCTGTCCCAGACGAGATTTTTGTAAGGGAGGACGAAGAACATTGCAGATGTGTGGGGGTTCATTTGAATGTACTAATATTCAATGTTCAATGTGCGTTCAGAAGGATCAATAAAATTAATAATAAAGTTGATTTTAACCGGAAAAAGGAATGTAAACACTGTAACCAAAAGGCTATCAAAATCAGATGCTATGCTAGAAAGTATGTCGAAAACGACCAGTGTCATAAAAAGCTGACCGTGTACTATATTGGTGAACATTGTTGTTCTCCAAAAGTTTGTGAGAAAAGGCCCAATACAGAGGAAGTTGAAAGCATCATTAAACAAAGACCAACAATAACAACTGGTCAAATTCAGTTAGAAAAAGTTTCGACAGGTTTTACTTGATGGTCAGAGTGATAAAAATTCTCTGGAAGATGTGGCATTGAAATTTAATGACGCACAGCATCTCTGTTATCTTCGAAGTAAGGTAAATGAAAAATGCAGACCAGATGGTTCAGATATCGAGGCAATACGCCTTCTTAAAGAAGACTTCAGTAAGCGGGAGTTGGATGCAAATTTAATCATGGAAGTTGGTGAGAACTGTGTCATTCTTTCTAGTAAAAAAAAAATTCATATGGCAGCTCTCATTACTCTTGGTCTGATTAATGAACCTGTCAGCCTGGATGGGTGCGAAAGTCTTGCAAAAGATTACACGGAAATTGAATTGACAACATATAATCCCGTTTTACGTCGGAATGTTAAACTTATAAGTAGTTTTGTTCTAAAACCAGGGGAAAATGCAGAAAATGTGGAGAGGCTGGTGGAAACGCTTGATAAAGCTGTAAACCAAATCTTACCTTCTGTTGCTCATGAATATAACCTTGACCCCAATGAATTTCAGGGTAGAGGTCTAGACGCCCACGCCTATGTTGGAGATGAGGGAGGGGCTTTATGGTCAGGTCTTTGTAAAGCCAAAGGAAATGACATTAAAAACAAAACAGTTTCTGATTACTTTCACTTCAAGCAAGATATAAATCGACACAAGGTTTACTTCACCTCTGAAAAAGACAAAATGAAATTTCAGCAAGTTATGGTTGATGCCTATAATGCTGTTACAAACATTCACGCTGAAGAAGCAGAAAAAGCCCTGGTAAAACTAATTTCAACAAAATCCAATAACCCTGGCAAAATGATGAACTTTAAGAATTGGTGGTGGAGACG